GGATTCCCGGGCAATTCGTTTGCTTTCTGGTTATGGCCATGGTTGTTATTGCGGAGCGGGGGCGCTTTGTTTGTGTATCGATTGTGTGGCAACGGATGCTGTATGCCACTGCCACCCACTTTCCACCCGGGTTCTCCCCATTTCTCTGCATGGTTATTGGCCATTTGCCCACGCGATGACATGTGCGTTTAATTGCGTTTTACTTATTTGACACAAATTAATATGGCAGGCGTCGTCGCTGGCTCCACCCTTTCCGAATGTCCGTGTCGAATCCACATAAGTATGCTATAATTTCCCCTAAACTCTGTTCTCGGGTAATTAAATATTTCTGCAACACTTGCGGCTGCTCTGCAAGCTAGAGAAGAATACCACTTTGAAACGAAAAGGAAAGGAAAAGGAAAAGGGCAGGAAAAGCAACGAGTTTGCCAAGAGGAAACCCTTCAAGTGGGAAATCTTTTAAAGTTCTGTGGGACTGTGTGCGAGTGGCATCCACCGCATCATAAATCAAATTATGACGACCTGACGAGAGGCGGGAATCAAGACCGAAATGTTATTAAGTGCAGCCAAGGGACCAAAGCGAGGGTCCCAGAACTCGGGACCGAGAACGTCGAGCAATCCAAAAACCCTTGACCACTTTCGACTCGCAAGTTTGTTTGAGTATTTTACGTTATTAATATTAATATTATTACAGGAGACGACACAAGTTTTTGTATGTGGCACAGGCCGTGTGTGTACACATAATTATGCAATTTAATGAGTTTTCTCTTTGCTGTCGCAGCCCCCGGCTACTCTACCTTCGGAGAGATATGCCGCCCCGCCCACAACTCCCGCCCCTTTGCTAGGACAGCTGCACATGTGCATAATTAATGTGAAAAATTAATTCTACATAAAGGAGTTTTCGGATGTGCGGGTTGGCCGTGTATGATGGAGAATCAACATTGTTACTGAAAACATTTTCTCACTTTTTGCAGACAAATATAGGGGATAAATATGTGAAATTAAATTAAAATCATTTCCTATTCTTTTTAAAACTAATACCAAAGAAATAGCTTAACAGCAGTTGGTAATTAATATAATATACTAACAGAGAACCTACTATAGTATTTCAGTAGAGTTATGTTTCTTAGGGCTGGAAAAGCCTTTCAGAGCCTTAAAGGCAGATGATACAGGGTATATATATAATAAATGCTTTTTATTTTGCATAGAAAGCAAGTCCAAGTTCTCTCTTAAATTGAAACCAATAAAGTTCGCCAACAGCCTTTTGTAATTAACGAAAAATAAATATACAGGTATAGAACCTACTATAGTATTTCAGAAGAGTTCCGTTTCAAAGGGCTAGAGAAGCCTTGCAGAGATGGGAAAAGTCCACCAGCAGCCAAGGTGAACAGTGTAACGAAAATGTTGTTAAAGGCAGATGACGGCGGCTATGATGATGATGATGCGGTTGACTTTGCCACAACAACGCCGTCGTCGGCAACGACAACTTGACATGGGAGCCGAGGCCGGTGACTAGAAAAGACAGACGGGGTGAAAGCCTCCGTGCTGCAGCCTCCTCCGCCTGCCGTTGATGTTGTTCGGAGCCCCTGCCACAGTGCCTTCTTTCATTTTCCCTTGGCTGCCATAAACGGAACGAAAACTCCTCACGACGGCGATGAAATTGACGTATAAAGTCAACGGCGTCAACAAAGTCGCTCCTCGTCTCCCTTTCTCCAGTTTCCATTTCTCCATTTCACCAACCCATCGCTGAACACATGACAGCACTTTTGAGGCATGTGTGTGTCACGTTCAGCATTTAGCATTTATTGTGTCTGTGTGTTTGTTTCCCTCCTTCTTTTTGGGGGATAGCCCAAAATTGAATTGAAAAACTGGCTGAAAGGTGCCTAGGAGAGGTATTCCAGTTATGGGAGCCCCGAAGTAGACTACGGTTATTGTTGCTTCGTTTTATTAAACCATAACTTGCTGCTCCGCTCAGCCACAATTTTGAATTGAATCAAAATGGCTGGGAATGTAAATGAGTTTGAAAACGTGGCCCTTGTCTGGGTTACTCCTATTTGCCAACGCTGATGAAGTTGGCCGGGCAAAGGAGAATGGCAGAGGACGGATGAGCAGATTCTTTGTGATTTGTGGCTTTGTTTTTCTCTTGCAGGAAATTAGAAATCTTTTCACACAGCCACATTTCCCATCTCCGCCGTCCTCGCTGTGTGCGTGTGTGTGGAAAGCCAAAGAAAATTAGAAAGCAAACTGGTTTGGCTGCCATTACAGACATTGGCATTTATATGTCGAGTTAATTAAAAGAAAACTAGTTATGCTAGTACTGCTCCTGCTGCTCCTCCCTCCCCTCCGTCAAGAAAAAGTCATTAAAAAGTAGGATCGGAGTCGGAGTCGAAGCCAGAGTTGTCTGTCAGACAGTGCGTATGATTGATAATGAGTTGAGGCCCGGCGAAGGAGGGGCAGGATGAGCTGAAAGGACGGAGCTCTGCTGAGACATCTCCATTTTTCTCCGCTCATCCTGTCTGGGCAATGCGAAGAATGCACACTTCTTGCAGCGGAACTTATTATTTTATTGCACTTGGCTCGGACACTTGTGGCCCCCTTCCCTCAGAATCCCCCATTGTGTGCAACCCGAACTGTCATTGTTGTCCTGCCACCTCCTGCTGGGCAACTCCTCCTCCGCCGCCTCCGACCTTCAACTGCGGTATTCCCCGGTGTGCAACCTCAAGACATCGCTGCGGGCATTCCCCAGTGCCGAGCAATAGATATTAACATGGGGAGGGTAAACTGACTGGCTTCCAATGGTGGCTCCATTGTCATACCTTGAGGTGCAATTTACATATTTCCAGGCCAGTTAGGGAATGGGATATTCACGTGGGTGGACGACAGGATGAAGCTAGCAATGTAATTTCTAATTTACTTTCATCTTTGATGCGGGCAGATGGCTGGTGAAAGGGTTCTGAGAACATAAGTCCTGTAATTATACATTCAAGGCAATTCTGATTTGACCACACCACTTGCCTTCTGACGAAAAGTTCTGCTACCGTTCCTAAGAAAATGGGATCAAAACTCAATTTGAAAAGTCAATTTGAACCTAGCTTGATGCTTTCAAGGACAAGAATAACTCAAGTTTTTAAGAACTATTTTATTCTTTGGTCTCTTCTGTGGATAACTATTCCATGTCTGCTCTTTAATTTGCATATACAGCATCGTAGTTGCCCTGACATTAAACACCACTTGCTAGGAGGAGAATAACCTGTGACCTCTGATCGTCAGGACATTCAAATTAGGCGTGGCCATAGCCAGGTTTTTCTTCTCTGTTATCCTGTCAAATGTTAAGTGCAGCAGACTCGGACAAATTATGCGCATTTTTGGTGGAGAGTCTAAGCTTCGGAATTGTATTCCGAACCGAGTTCCTGGCTCTTTCTGTCTAGGTGAGCTGGAGCTGAGCCACGTTACATGGGGAATTAGTGCGCATAATTTCATAAACAACTCTGCCATCGGGCATCCCTGCTGCGGAGGGGAGGGCGTGGAGCCTAGGGAAATGACAGGAAGCTTTTGGTAGTCATCGCGTTGGTCGCTGCGCAAATATTTCTTGTGCCCCCCGGGAATGATTTTTGCCCGGTGCTGATGCTGCCGGCAACACTCGTATGTACATATCCGAACACATGCAAATGTACACGGGGTACATCGAGTTATGCTGGGAATTTTCGGAAAGGAGGCTGGGAAGGAGCCAGCGAAAATGTGGACGAGTATCTGTACTAAATTGCATATGAAGTGATTTCAAGCGTAAGAAATGCCCCGGCAACAACAACAGCGGGAGTACATCAATATTATATGTACAGATATATTCACGAGTACATGCACAGCGCTCGGTTGGAACATGCGGAAAAACTTGGCGCAGGTTCAAAAAGAAAAAATCGCAAAAATATGGGAAAGAAGAATTTCATATCAAAACAAGGAAGAACGCTATAGTCGAGTACCTCGACTATCAGATACCCGTTACTCAGCTAAATGGAGATATGCAAGCAGCAAAGCGAGATTAAAATGCGCCACCTACCGGCGGTATACAGATTTAAGCGTTATGGGCGTTAGAGTGGGCGTGGGAAATTTTTTTTTAGATCAATCGATAGGTATTTACGAGACCAATACATTTCAGTTAAAATTTTTTATCTAGCATGAAAATTGTGGGCGTCACAAGTTTTTGCGGTTTGTGGGCGTTAAAGTGGGCGTGGCAAACTTTTTTTTGGGTCAATCGATAGGTATTGATGAGAACATTACATTTCAGCTAAAATTTTTATTCTAGCATCAAAACTGTAGGAGCCACAGTTTTGGGCGGTTTGTGGGCGTTAGAGTGGGCGTGGCACTCTACTGAAATAAACTTGCGCTGCGTAAAAAGCTCAGGAATCTGCACGCCAAATCTCAATAGCCTAGCTCTCATAGTTTCCGAGATCTCAGCGTTCATCCGGACGGACAGACAGACGGACAGACGGACAGACGGACAGACGGACAGACGGACAGACGGACAGACGGACAGACGGACAGACGGACATGGCTAGATCGACTCGGCTAGTGATCCTGATCAAGAATATATATACTTTATGGGATCGGAAACGCTTCCTTCTGCCTGTTACATACTTTCCGACGAATCTAGTATACCCTTTTACTCTACGAGTAACGGGTATAATTACAAACAGGCCCAGGACAGGGGCCAACTCTCTGCCAGCAGAATGTGGATGATGAACGAGTCCGGCTGGGGACCCTCCCGTCCCCATTGTTGCTGCTCAGTTCAGCCAAAGTGCCGGAAGTCGTGAACTCTGCATGGGAATGTGATTAAATGCATTGCCGGCACTTTGTGCACAAAACTAATTTGGCTAATTTCATGATTTATTGGGCCGAGTGGAAATTTAAACATTCTGAGATGGCAAATTAAATTTTATAAATGAATTTAAAATGATTTATGCGTGCCAAACTAACCATTTTTGTTTAATCTATCTTTCTCTTTGCAGCCTAGGCACCCAATAAATATACATCTCTAAATGCATCAGCTAAGCAACAGTATTTTTGCTCAACAATAAATTTACGAAAACTCTCAAGGCAGAAAAATAGGAGAAATATTTTGATAGCCGTGATTATTTTTTGCATTTGAATAAAAACCACTGAAGATACGAGCAGCAAAGAGAACGCAGCGAGCTTAAGCCAACAACGTAGTACGACTAGCAAAAGACACCACCAATTTAATTTTATCTAGAAAACCATACAATACCGCAAGCAAAGTAGCCAAAATCTCTATATGTATAGTACGTGTATTGGTCATTTATGATTGATATATAGCAAAGTTATATTTACAAACCCACAACATAACCGGAAGGGGAGCCCAGAAAAGACAGACAAATCCACTGCTGCGATACAGACCGCTGAATACGGTCAGATCCAGATACATTTTCATCTAAACCGAGTTAAGACAAAGGCAGCAAAATAGATACCATGGAAGACAATAACACGAGCAGCAGTGCGGGCGGTGCGTCCATCAAACACGAGGATCCATCGGTGACACTCACAATAAGGCTGATTATGCAAGGAAAGGTGAGTGGAAAATAATAAAATATCATTAAATTGGTATACTTATTTTAAAGTAAGCTTAAGAAGTTTTTTTATACAGCAGTTGGTAAAGAAAATTACAAGTATCATAAGTATCTAGTAGATAGTATATATGAATAGTATTGACAGATCTGATGATAAAGAATCCCTAGGGTCCTATCCTATTCAGCGAAATCCAATAAAACTGAGCAACTAACTTTAACTCCACCCACTTTGGATCGAGTGCAATTGTCTATTAAAATATGAACGCTTTTATGCACACCATTGAGTTCTGTCATCTTAAATATTTATAGACCACTTTTTTCAATTCGCACGAAAATCAATAACGCGGATGGGGGCTCAGAACGAGGTGGCAAACAAAAAGCAACCTGGCCAGCGCAAACATTAATGAAAAAATTACAAATTAACGCGTGCATTTTGTATGCAAATTAAAATTAAATACGCGCCACGTCACGCATTATTCCATCGCAGTAAAGGTAAATGAAATGGCGCAGTGGGGGGAAGTGCGGGGGAGTCCGAGGAATATGTGTGTATATGAATACGATACGTGGAGATATAAATACAGGGCCATAAAAACGAGACGAAGTAAGGCATCGGCTATTAAACAATCATTACGGCTCCCAGATATGAGTCATAAAAAAACAAAACAAATAAAGTACACCAATTTATAAATTGTTTTCATTGCGTACAATAACAAAAGTCGTGCACACACTCGTATCATATTTATGTAAATGCTGTTTGGGGCAACTGACAGGTGAGACCAGCGACTTGTATCGCATAGCAAATCAGCCTGCGGGACAACGGGTTAAACCAGTCGCAAAAAGATGGCATATATAAACAATTAAATATTTAACATTTGCCTGGGTAAAATTAACCACAAATCGAGGACAGGAGCGCATTGTGTGCGGCTTTAATCAAGGAAAATGTTTTGACAGCAATTTTCCAGCACAAACACCCCGAGGCGGTTCATTTTCAAAGCAAAATATATTCAGATTTTATGCTGAAAAAACCAATATGCGAAGCATTCATTTGCCCCAAATAAAGCGATAATAGTTTCATTCAAATATTTTTAATCAATATTTATTAACGAACATTGATTTTGAGAAATAAATGAAGAGTAAAATGATTAAGTAAACTATTTTTAATGGCCCACGCTTTATGCCACAATAACCCAACATGGATATATGTTTACATTGAACTGCAGCCTCTGTACTTCAGGCAGTGATTCACGGCAGCCGAAGTAGTCAAGATAAAAGCGGCATTACACAAAGAGATAGAAAAACCGACACTAAATAGCTGCTTACTTATTTAATAACAGTCAACAGCCATTAAAAACTATTATTCAACGACATTAGCCACCAACAACCATCCAGAAAAGGCTGTCACGCAAATCCGCAGCGTAGTTGTTGTTTCTCGAGCCGAGTTCAGCTGAGTTAAGATGCGATGCGATGAGGGGCTTGCCACTCGAGAGATGTTAGCCAGAAGACGGGGAGCTGGCAATACTTCGACTGCCGAGCACGTGTTGAGCTGGCAAAGCTGTCATTTATCTTTTTAGCCCGATTCCCTCTGCATAGTCGGCTGAAAAAGCAGATTTGCAGCTTCAGATTTGCCCAGGCATCGATTTAATTATAAATTTGGTCGTTGTTGGGTATTATTTTTAAACCACAAGCAATTGAAAGGCCGAGGCAGGTGCAGATAAGGCGACAAGTCGGTGCATCGAGCAGAGCGGCGAGGGGCTCTTACATGATGTGTAGCTGAAAATTGGCAAAAAGGCCAGAAATATGTTTAGACGCGACAATTTATGGCCGAAATAGCAGGCAGATAGACAAAGAAAGCAAAATTAAGCCAAAATGGAGAGGGGTGGAGCTTTCTAGCAGAGATATGGTACCTGGTGCGGAATCCCTCCGCCGATCACGGATCTCGTGAATAATTGCGCACTTTTTGGCTTTAGCACAATATGGCAGCGGGAAAGGCGTCCGTGTAGGAATAAATATTGTGTAAATGCAAATTCTGCACATTTTCTGAGATTTTCTTTTTCTTGCCAACGCAAGGATTCGGGCATTAAATTCCCAAGACACTTTTGTACGGCGCCGACAGACTAAGGCTGTCGCTTGTTGTTGCTTGTCTCTTGATCGATAGTTATAGATTAGCATGATTTATGCGATTTTTTCAACAGCCGCGCAGATGTGAATAAATTTGACGCGCAATGCAAATCAAGTGGCGAGCAGGAAAAAAGAAACGTCAGCAGCGGCAGATAAACAGCCAACTACTGTCAACTGAGTTGGCATAAAATTGAATTGAACACAAATCTCGACATCCGTATCGATATTGTTTAATTGCCTCTAGAAGGTGCGAAGGGTATTGGGGTAGGTTGAGATGGGAAAAATCTATCTAGGTTTGTTTAATTTCCCATAAAGGACCATTAATCAGAGATGCATGCAAATTGTTTCACCCCGAGGTTGCAAAGATAAATTAGGTCTGTATTGCATATTCTGGTATTGACTATTGAAATAAACATTAAAATGTCAGGATGAGTTTAATAATATCGAACGAATGTGCAGGTAACTCAATTCCTTTGTGATTAATCCAACTCAGCATTGCGTAAATCTGCAAGCCGATCATAATTGCAATTATTCATTAATGGAAAATTAAATATGTTATCTGGGCAGATACAGTCAGCGACATAATGTTATGCGCCAGGGAGTGGTGCAAGGCCATCGGCAGAGCCGAAAAGTCATTGTTAGCCAGGTATTTTTGCGTCTCTAATTAACTTTGGCTTATTAGTCTCATGCCGAAAGTCGCATTCAGACTCTGAGTCAGAGTCGCCAAGTCGCAGTTGCAGTCGCGTCCAAAGTCGTGATGCAGTTAATTAATTTATGAAAAATGAAAACAGAAACGGGCGAAAAATAAACAACTTTGCCATGCAATCGAGCGGCAGAGGGCGCAAAAACACCTTTTTCTTTTGTTTTGGGCCCTGGCAGTTGGGTTTTTTTTTCACCTTTTTATTTCTTGGCAGCCATCCGCAAATTGCATAGAAAAGAAACCGAAATGTGGGTTGCTCTCTCGCCTAGAATTGTCAGGGCAGTAGACAGAGATATTTGTTGCAGTTGTTCTTATTTTTGAATCATGCATTTTTAATTAGTGAAATTGCACGACGTCGACGACGGCACCTTTATGCGAATTTTCATCACAGTCTGCCACATTTCCCGAGCACTTGTCTAATTTTAATTAACTATTTTTCGAGGCGTCCGACTTTAGGGCATGGTTGTGCAATGGATTCGAGGGGTGTGGAAATGGGTTGCATTCAACCTAGTATTTCCGATGACGTTTTCGGTGTTTATAAGTTGGCTTATGCCCTTCCAATTCAATTACTTAGAATTCCATACCCTCCAGAGGGCTTTTCGGCGCCCCTCCGCCTGCAGGAGACATTTCTCATTCGTCCGTGCGTTGTTTTCGTTATTTAATCAAATTAAAAATTTGCCACTTGCTGCGTGGCATGGCCCTGTCCTGCATCTGGCCCTGGCAAATTGTAAATAATTTAATTGTACCATTTTTTGCTTTTCGCCTGCCAGCAGCAGCGGCAGCAACAACGGCCAAAAATACGAAATAAAAGTTTGCAGGGCGACAAATGCGCTGCATGATTTATTGGATGGGATGGGGAAGGGGGAGGGGCGGCACATGTGTGCCACAGCAGGCCATATGTGAGCACCCCGCCCCCTCTGTCAGATTGCATTTTCCAGCATTTGTGGCAAGTTTTTCTTGCATTTTTCCTTTGCCGAGCAGCTCCCATAAATGGTTCTCACGGTTTCGCAATTGCTGTCGGAGATTTTTTGCCGCTGATGCTGTTGTTAGTGCGGCTGCTGTTTTCTTTGTTGCTGCAATTCACTTATTTTTGTACAATTTTCAACGCCATTACAACGCCACACATTAAAACCGAAATCCGCAAAAGATCGGAAAAGGGGAAAAACATGAAACAAGTCATGCTGCTCGAACTTTTTTGGGTTGTTGTCTGAGCTGAAGCCAAAGCCGCGTTCGTTTTCTTTTCTCTTTTCTCCGGCTTTTAACCGTCTGCTCCACTAACATCAAAAACTCTTTGCCCCAACCCCCCCATCGAGCCGCCTCTATTGTGGCCCACAATTAGCGTTGTCCATTCTTTGGACCTCGTCTTTAATGCGTTTTCAGTTATTGTTTGTCTTTTTCCCCTGGTGGCCATTGTTATTGTCATAATCTCCAGTCCATGTTTCGTCTTATAGTGATAAATGGAACTAGCCAAATTTTGCGCTTGGCTGGATATTGTGTGGGAAAATACAATGAGATGTGCACAAGCTCTTTAAGATGGGTTTGCTGATCTAAATTTCATGATTATGCAACCAAATAACCGGCCTGGAGCAGCTCCTTTCTCGGAATATTTGAAGAACAGACCTTAAACTGTATTAAAAGTGAAGGTGCATTGTTATTTGATAGTTAGTTCTTAAATACATAAGAACTATACATAATTATGCAACTACAGGTTAGTGTGGAATATATTCCATATCTTTGATTTACAAAAACTTTTCAAAGGTTTCCCGTGATCCCTCCTCTTCCGTTTTCATCCAGGTTCTGAGTGACATTTCTTGAATAACTCATTTTTCAATCCCATTCAACGATTTTCACCCTACATTGTTGTTTCAAGGCTTATAATTACTAAGGACCAGCCGACTTGCAGTAATCCCTTGTGGAAAACAAAACGAAATCAATAACAACGAACAATCAAACTTATTTCCTGACCACAGAACGGAATGTTGGCATTCTGAAGCGGCTGCCTGCATGTCAACTTTTCCTATGCATATTTTATGCAAGCAACCCAACCGAACAAGCTGGGTGGACCGAGCCCAAAACATTCGACAAAAGGCAGTCGAAATGTTCCAGCTGGACCGCAAAGTGTTTTTTGCATTCGAAAATCGCACGCATGTGGAAATTGGAAAATGCGAAAATGCGAAAATGCCAAATGCGATTGTTCATTGTTGCAGGAGTTGTGTGGAGGAATGCTGTGAATTTAATTGCCGGCAGGGAGCGCAGCAGGGGATCGGATGGGTGGGTGGAGCGGGCAAAGGCCAAATCAATGCATTGAAGTGAAAGTCCCGATTTTCGCTCGATTCACAGTAATGAAACGGCGGGGGATTTTGAACGGCGGAGGGATCGAGCAATGTCAGGCAGATCCGATTTATGCAAATGGCGCAAACTTCTGAGCGGAACTGAACCGGCTCGCAATCGCAACGAGATAATTGAATGGAGCAGCGGGTGGCTGCTCGGCTGAAGGGAACTGCGCTGGACATCGGAGCGGCTTCTGGCCACAATATTAATGATGATGAGGCCTAGGCGCTGATGAGCAGCCATCAACCTGAATGGTTATGAGGCCCCGAAAGTGCGTAGTCTCTAGGCCGCCCCGCACTTAGATACCACTTACGCAGATACAATTTATATCTGCCAAGTCTGTGGCGGCAAAGCTGTCCTATAAATTACACTGGTCGCCGAGAAATTCGTCTATGAGTGCAGACAGGCGTAAAAACGCATCTGAGGCAACGTTCGCCGCCGTTCGACGATAATTACGCCAATAATTATGCCCATTCGCTCTGACATTTGTGTACAATAAATATCTATGCAACCGAATAAGCTGGCCTGCATCTATTTCGCTCTCGTGGACACAAATGTTCTGGCGAAGAGTGGCCAGAATGCAAGCACCGCATAAAATTCGGATGGCCGGGGGCAGATTTCCCTCGCACATTGTTTTGCCCAGTTTGCATTTCGTCTGGCAAGCTGCCCGACCCAAGATGTATTTGTTGGGCTCTGGGTGCGCTCTTTCGGTCTGGCACAATGGATTGCTGCACTTTGGATTTGTGAAGGTTGTTCTATGGTTTATGGCCGGCAAATTGAATGGCTGTGAGTGGCAACATTTAAACATGGCCAAATAAATTGTTTCAATTCTACATTATACGTAGGAACGGGGTTGGGTATCCTTGGAGAATGGAGAACTATTTGAAAAACATATCTCAAACTGTGGAGATAAGTTCCAAATTGCATTAAAATAAAGTCATATCTTAAGGTACCAACTAAGAAATTTAATGCATTTCCGTTGACAAGTTTATGGGGACTACCAAAAATATTATCTGTTTTGTCTGCCTTTAAATTTAAATTTAAATTTAAGTTCTTCCTATTATAAATTTATATCGCACTTAACAATATTTTAAGTAAATGCTTCAGACGGGCGGAAGTTCATTGGCTTTATTTTAATGATGGATGGAGGAGTTCCTTATAGAAAATGAGTGATATATTGATTACCCCACTAGGGGGGCGATATAAATGGTAAGGTAAAACCATTCCCTCTTTACTTTTCCACCCTGTCTGCTCTGCGCTTTCATTTTTCGCAATGGTTTTTTCTTGTTAAAAACTCAGTTACTGGCTGTGGCAGTGCTGATATTTACAATCAATTAAAACGCGTAAAACGCGCTGGCCGCAAATTTCATTACGTGCGACAGTTCGCAGCGCCGACAGGCGACTGACTGTGAAAGGGAAATGGGTTCGCCTCGGGCTGGGTTTGGGTTTTCTGGTTGCCACTGTGGGTGATGCGGGGTGTGGCGCGTGTGAATTGCTTTTTGTGGCAATTAAATATGCAAAAGTAGTTACACACACACACACGATGCCTCCCTGTGCTGTATGCTCCGGCATAATATCACTTAATATTTAATCAAATTTGAGCATCGTCTCTGACAGTGTCAGGCAAAAGAAAAAGCCGAAACTCGCTTAAAGTGTTTTCGATGTCCGCAGAGGGTGGCAAGTTGATGGCCTCGAGCAAGATACATCTTAAGAGCATTTATAAGTTACTTTGCAACATGTTTTCCAACTATAATGCTAAACACATTTTCCGTATTTTGTTTCTTTGCAGGAAGTTGGTAGTATTATTGGTAAAAAGGGTGAAATTGTCAACAGATTTCGTGAAGAGGTAAGGCTACTCATCCCTAAAACATAAACAGACCCCGGCTAATTCTGTTATTCCTCCTCAGTCTGGTGCCAAAATCAACATTTCGGACGGCTCATGCCCGGAACGTATTGTGACTGTGTCTGGTACAACTAACGCAATCTTTTCGGCATTTACGCTCATTACAAAGAAGTTCGAAGAGGTATGTGTGCGGTACAACTGGCCAGTCCCCGTTTAATCACCCCAGGACCCAAACGTTTCCGGTTCACATTACTAACTTCTGACCCGTTTCAGTGGTGCTCGCAGTTCAATGATGTAGGCAAAGTTGGCAAAACTCAAATACCCATTCGATTGATTGTGCCCGCCAGTCAATGTGGATCGTTAATTGGTAAGCGGACTGCAGTTAACCACAGTCATCAATTCTAATGCTATTTATTTGCACTCGGGGCAGGCAAGAGTGGTTCAAAGATCAAGGAGATTCGCCAGACCACAGGCTGCTCCATCCAGGTGGCCAGTGAAATGCTGCCCAATTCGACAGAGCGGGCGGTTACCTTGAGCGGCAGTGCCGAGCAGATCACCCAGTGCATCTATCAGATATGTCTTGTCATGTTGGAGGTGAGTCTCCTGTCCTTTATAAACAAACTTCTCTAACTAAAATACTACGTTATCATTGATATCATACGTGTTCTTGTTGGAAAAGTCTGTTTACATCCACTATCGGTTGAGATTAACTAACAATGTATTTTGTCAACAGTCCCCGCCACGCGGTGCTACCATCCCGTACCGACCAAAACCGCAGGTGACTGGCCCCGTCATTCTGGCCAATGGACAGGCATTCACCATTCAAGGAAACTACGCAGTGCCCACACAAGAGGTATGTAGGTGGACCGTCTGGCCGATTTCTCACCCAGAAAACCAGGCTAAACGTGTTGTTAAGATCAGTGAACAGTGTTGTGTACTCTATTGCCAGCCACTGCAGCTATATCTCTCGCTCTGTCTCTATCTTAACCGACCCCACATAAGTCCAGCTAAACAATTTTGTACTCTTTGATTTTGCCCCGACCTAGCCCAACTATCTTTTTGGTTATTGCGCGTCTTCACTTTCTGTTTATCCTCCTAATATTTCTTAAGTTCATGTCACTCTATTTCTCTGTCTATACTTCTATATCTTGTGTTCTGCCGATAATCCAGATCCCCTTGCTCGACTCTATCGACCCCGATTATAATTTGCGACACCGTCCACGAGTCCCTCCCCTCTTTCTCCGTAAACTCTTCACTTGGAGACCCCTGATAGCTGTCCAGAGAAGAACCTACTACGATTTGTGTCCCGTTTTTGACCCTTCTGAACCCAACCTCTCAATCTACTGTACCGATTACCGATTACCGAATCCGAACCGATACCGATTACCGCTCCCCTATCGTCGTACCCATGAGATTCATCTATTTTCAAGTCCAAGTGGTGACCCCGATCAGTGAACTAATGTGTTAACAAACTTTACAGCCATCGAATCGACGATAATAATTAACGAAACAATTTTAAAATAAACTTTAAATATGTATTTTTGTTTTGTTTTTAGTTTCTTTTGCACTCTCTTCTCTCAGGTTAAGAGCGTGTGGCTGCGAGGAGAGTGCGTGCGCGATCGGTCTCTCTCTCAGTCTGCCCCGGCACCTGTCTCTGTCTCACTGCGAGAGTCTCCGGGAATCTTCGATCTCCGAGAATCGAATCCGCAGCATCCTGAGGGGAGAATCGTTGGGTTTCTTCCGCCTCAGAGAAAAGTGTTGAAGGCGTGGCGAGGCGAGGCGAGTGAGTTCGTGTGAAAGAAAGAAAGGCTCGCGGGGAGCGGGGGCTAGAACTCTCTCTCTTCACTCTCTGCTCAGTCTCTCTGTGTCTCTAAGTTCTGTTCTGAAGAGGGCTCGCTGGCAGCGTGTGTGAAGAAGTATGTTCAAACTACACTAGTCCACCTGTCTCTCCAAACCCATCTACATACATATATCCGCCATATCTATCCAGCCCAAAAGTAAACATCTATTAATCAAATACCTCGACACAACAAGATCCACAAAATATTAAACTCCTCCTTGAGCGCCAGCTAACTAATCGTATCGTATCGAATATTGAATAATTCAACACCCCTCTATATATATCTATATACACTTATTTGCCAACGTCCTGCGTTCTTTCGACATCTCTCCTGATTTTTGTGTAGTACCGTCACTGAAATTTAGCTTTTCGTACAACGGATAAATCCAATCAACGAAGCTAACCACATAAATAATTAAAAAAAGCAGCAGACATATTTAGATGCGTTTTTACCAGAACAACAATGCAATTAGCAATTATAACAACAGCATACTGTTCCAATACCATCCTGCCCGAGCCCTCCATCTCACACACTCTAAATACTCTCTCGCCACTCTCTCTATCCGTATCAATAAATATTGTTTATAACTCTGTTAAAAATCCCATACCAAAATTGAATTTTGTGCTCTACAGAACCACAGGAAACAGCAAACAGCACACAACAGCAAAACAAACAGCAAACTAATTCTATTCAATCCAATTCAGCCTCCAGTACAGTCAGTCCAGTACAGTACAGCACAGTAAAGTTCAGTTCAGTTCTCCGCCCTTCAGAGCCCCCCTCGCCAGCCATTGCCCCAACGAAAAATAAAAGTTTCTCAAAACTAAAACAGACAACGTTTTTGTTGTCACATCAAATTCAATTAATGTCCAGAAAAAATTTAATAAATCAAAAACTAGTTGTACCATCCATTGCGATCTCTCTCTGTCTCTCTCCCACAAATCGCGCTCTCTCACTCTCTCCTGGTCCTGGTTATTGTCGGTGTTGGTTTACAATTCGTTAGCCCAATGCAGCGTGTAGTGTATTAAACCCCACAGTTGTCAATTTGCTCACAATGGGTACAGTTTGCAGGGTTAACTTTTAGAGCTGCGGTAAAAATGTATTTTTATATAAAGGAAAACCGATGTTAGAGTACCCAATGTGACATCGATTTGCCATGGCAGTCCAGTCAGTCTGTTGGCAACTGTACCTCAACCTGCGCTAAACTGTCGGCATTGGTCCCGCATTCTAAGAGTCCTTCATAATGTTGTATGCCCCCAAACCCTTGGTTCCCTCGAGCCCTGAATCCGCCCCACTCGAAAACAAAGTAAAGCCCCCTTCTCTGTCCCTCCTCTTAGATGTCATCATTTGTTTCTAGTATTTCATCCACCCGATATCATTTATACTTTGTTCTGCGTTGCAACGAACCCCGTTCAGAAACCCCGCCCTCACACCAGAAATTTGCACACACGTCTCGAAAGCTTTCTCCAAGAGTTTCTCTAGCGATACGTCTATATTTAAACATGTATCTGATAAGCTTACATCTCTCCATAGCAACTACAAAGTTAAGATCTTAATCAACTTGCTTTGAAAGACATTTTACTTGTGGTAAACAATTTTCGTTCTTCTACTTTTCTTTCTTCCTTGGCCACATATTTTGAACCGCATAAATGAAAAATACACTAAAACAAAATTGTAACTCCACACACGCACACCAAACACACACAACCGTAATGATCAATCAATCAATCAATCGAACGTAGACCTGTCCAGTATTTCCACTTGCCCTGGCTACCGGCGGTCTACATGCTGGTATCTCAGGCTTGGCGGATCCTTTGTTAAAGGGGGCACATTTACAAGGAGCGATACCAGCACACCACCATCACCTACAGCAAATGCCCGATGTGAGTTTTTAGCTATCGATGCGATTCGGTTCAAGAACATGAATACCTCCACCAGACTCTTGAAAGAAACTGTACTCGTTTAACCAATATAATCAAACGCAACATGACCCGAGAATCCAACTCCGCCAGGCAGAGCATGATGATGTACCGTCCCCCGACACCTGCCTGCACTCCCATGCATCAGACTGTAAAACACTCAGAAAAAATTGTTCATTTCCTCTACAAAATATTATTGAGCTTAAAACATGAACATTGCTTAAAAGTATAACTGTTAGAAAAAACGAAATGAGGTTCTCTTTGGGCCAAATACCATTCCCAATAAAATTATAAAGTTACATTTTAAAGAACAAACGGAAAAACCTCTTAACATTGTACTAAAATTGCTATGGTCAACCGAATTTTTACATTGAACTGGGTTAGTTGGATAGCCTATGTAATCTTCAAGTATTTTTAAAGGTGTACCAACCAAATACATTAATTTTGTATGTCAAATAAATTTTAAAATAGTTTACTAAACACTTAGATTGGTGGTTGAAATAAACTTTAGAAACATAAATATTTTCAAAATTTATGAATAAAATACTATGTATAAAAATGCTTTTTTCTGAGTGTAGATAGTTGTGTTCGTATGTTGCTGTTGTATTTCTACCCGCCGTAGCAACCTCCTGAGTAGCCCCAAGTTCCGGTTTTTGTAGCTTGTATACCCAGTTTACTACCTTTGGCATTTCTTTTACGATCCCCCGTCGGCGCAACCGTTGGCCGCATTTCAATGACATTAGCATTGGGCCAACTGCAGCTCTTGGTCCGAGTCCAGGTCCCCGAAGTCGTTGCCACCACAAAGTCGGTGGCCGAAGTCACACTAAAAATCAGACCAAGGGGACTTGGAATCCGAGGACTAAAGCAAACCCTTTATCCCAGCCAGAAGTCATCAAAAAATGCACTTTATCGCCCACCCCCCTCTCTTTTCCCCCCAAAGCTAAAGTTTTTCGTAGTTTTGGAAAATTGTTTCAACTTGTTTTCTATATGTATCTGTGTGTTTGCCTCTATGTATGTGTTGTGTGCGCTTGGCAGAAGTGTTTGTTAATATGCCAACACACACAAGTTTTATGACAGTTTTTCCTAGATAATCCATTGTAGCTCCCCCTACCCGCTCCTCTCTCTCTGTCACTGAACTTTTTATTGAGTTGCAATTCATTTTTGGGTCATAAAATATTTCCATAGCGCATGTTTTATTTGTTTCATTTGAAATTCGTATTGCATTTTGATAAATATTTCAGTTCTTGTTTCCTAAGCTCTCACACAAACACACGGTTATGCAACCCCCCACCCAGACACACACAAACAGAGATGCATCTCCCCCACTTACACAAGCTCACAGAAATAAAAGCACACAAAGCATTTCAATATTGTATGATTTATTTCAGATTCTCTCTATCCCTTTTTTGTGTCCCTTTCTAGAGTATCATGTGCCACCATTTCCCTTTTCCCCCTTAGCTGCATTCAGATGCAATTATTCGAAACATATTTGCAAGTGTTGCATTTGATTTGATTAATTTATAGAGCGCGTGCATAGTTCCCGTTTTCCAACCCCAAGTCACCCCCATAGTCCCCATTTCTTCACCCTTTCGAGTCCTAGTTTACATGCACATGTGTGCGTGTGTGTCAGTGTGTGTATGTTATTTGCTGTAGGTGTTATTGGTGAAAAGAGGAAGACAAAAATACTTCAGAATGCATTGAATGTTGCCTCAAGGAAGGGCCACCTAGCCCAGATTTAGGAAAACATTAAAAGGATATCATTTACAAAAGCATTAGCATACTTTTTGGAGTAGACTCAAGTACGAACATCAAAGATATTTTAATGCAGTCCCGAGTCCTTATGGATTAAGTTAGTTATTTGAGAAGAACTCAGCTTAAGCTTCCCCTAGGTGTACCCCCTGTAAATCTATTCAATGTGTCAACTTTCTCTCTTTCTCCCTCTCCATCCATCTATCTGTCTCTGTACCTATATATTTTGTAAAGACAACCTGTAAATTGTGTAGAACCAAAGTAACACAGAAAATAAAAACGTTAGACAGGGGAGACACCCGATTCATACACATCAGCTACACTGCACAAAAATACTTACACACACTCATTGCCGAACCCCTGGCTCCATGTACAAAGAGAATTACGATCCCCACCACAATCCACTCGATGGTGTATGTAAAAAGAGCTGAAGATGGAGTATAATCTTGTATCCCGTTTGCTTTTGCCCATTGCATTCTGTTCTTGTAACTATTTGTTTGATGCTTTTGCGTTTCCGTTTCTATCCCTGTTTCCGTTTCCGTTCCAACCGTTCCGTTCCCTTTTGTTATGTTCCATCTGCGTTACCTGTTACTGGAGTTGACGCGCGTTGTGTTGTGATCTTGTGATCTCCCCCTCCCCCCAAAAACAGACCCCGGCCCCAGATAAATAGATGATAATTAACCCAACTGTATACATACACACACACCTTAACCCACGAAGCCCCTGAGCCCCAAAGAAGGCGGTGAAACTTGAATCTAATCCAATCTAATGCGTTTCGTCCTTTCGTCCCGCTCTGCGAACAGGTGGCCAAGAACCCGCTGGCCAGTCTGGCTGCCTTAGGCCTGGCTGGGATGAATCCGGCCAGCACTGGGGGCATCAACCACACAGGTGAGTTGAGCGCTTCTGCGGCCAGATGCCAGACAGATTTCCAATCTAATCTAGGCTCTGCCCCAGCAGCCTTGGCTGCACTGGCCGGGTCGCAACTGCGTACAGCGAATCCCGCGAACCGAGCCCAGCAGCAGCAGCACGAGATGACCGTCTCAAACGACCTGATCGGCTGCATCATCGGCAAGGGTGGCACCAAGATCGCCGAGATTCGCCAGATCTCCGGCGCCATGATCCGGATCTCCAACTGCGAGGAGCGCGAGGGCGGCAACACCGACCGGACCATCACCATCAGCGGCAATCCGGACTCGGTGGCTCTGGCCCAATACTTAATCAATATGAGGTGAGTGCATCGATCTTGAGCAGCTTCTCATCAGCTATCTCTCTGTATGTGTGAGCGTTTGTTGCGTGTGTTGTTGTCTAACATCAATTTTGTCGAATTGACTTGCTAATTGACAAAAAGAAAGAACGAAGGTATAAGGAGGTCGTCGGTCGTAGGTCGTAGGTCAACTCTCAGTCGCGGAGTGGCGGTGCGTTCAAATGTCTAGACCATGACGAGGCCCCGGGAGGTGGGTGGTTGGGTTGGATGGGTTATAAGGTGAAAAGGTGAAAAGGTGAAGCGGGAGGGTCACTGTCAGGGAACTAACACGATTCCGTACGTAGCCTAAGCCACACACATGTCCTAGCCTGTAAGTCGTAAGCCCGGCAATGCCAAAACTAGCACCACAAATCGTATAATTTTCCACCCTCACACCCCTAGAGCTTAGTTCGCATCGAACGCTAGCCTAACCAAATGTTCTAGCTAATAGAAACTATAAATATCTAACTGTATAAACCTAGCATCTAGTCTTACCAACCATGTATAATATAAAAGTTCAGCAGGCCCCGGCCGAATCCGAGGATGAGCAGGAGGCGGATGATTATGAGGATGATGAGGCCAGCACCGAATTAATCTACGCATCGCACACTTTTCACACAACTGAAAATGACAATCAAAAAGAAACTGGACCTGATCCAATTGGTACTTCAAACTGCAGTTCAACTCCAAAACGATCCAAAACCTCACTCCCCGTCCAAAAATCAAACCGACCCAGCCGAATCCCACCACCACCTAGTTCATCCTCCAAATCAAACAAACTCTTTCGGTCCATGCCTCCCCATAAAAACAGAGAACAGCTCACCAAAAGTTTTCTACTCCTACCATCCAAAATTTGAACGCCGCTCTCCCACCAAAAACCCCCCCAAAAATCGCTGAAAAAGCTCTTCTTCTTTATCTCTCTCTCCGTCAACTCCGAACCGTTCCTCCACACAAAACCTCCTTAACCTTTTGCATAACAAAACACGAAAAGAATCAAGAAAAGATCAAATAAAACCAACTCAATTCCACAAAATCGAAAAAGAACCAAATGTTTTGAAATACCTATCACCTGCCGAAAAGCAAAAAAAGAAACCGAAACAAATACCAACAATATCCCAATTTGTTCCTTTCTTTCTCTCTCTTTCTATCTACCTTAACCGAACCTCGTCCACAGTGTTGAGCTGCAGAAGGCCAATCTCTTGGAGCAAGCCCAGGCCCAGCAGAACGGAGGTGCTGCCGCAGCTCCCGGAGCTGCTGCTGCCGGAGTGGCCGCTGTCGCCGGAGCAGCAGCTCCGACCGCGGGCACGAACGGAGCCATCCCGACGGTGGCCCTCACCGGCGGCACAGGAGTCGTGGGCGCGGGTGGTGGCGCAGGAGCCACCGGGGTGGCCAATGGCACTGCTCCGGCGACCAACGGCGGTGGCAGCAGCATCTCCGCCACCGGGTACACCAGTGCCAATGGCGGCCAGGCAACAAACGGATCGGTCGGAGTGAATCCGGCAGCGGCCGCCGCCCTGTCCAGTCCTCTGGCCTCGGCTCTGCAGTTGCTGACCAAGCCGGGAGCTCTGAGCGCCCTGTCCAACCTGAGCGCCCTCGATCTGCTCAACCTGACCACGCTGGGCAACAACAACGGGGCCGGTGGCACTCCGGGCGGACCGCCGGTGCAGACGACGGGCGTGAACCGCGCCAAGGGCCACTATGCCACCTCCCGGTTCCGGCAGCACCAAACGGAGACCGGCGGCGAGGCGGAGAAGCCGCGCAACAAGTTCAATCCGTACTAGGATTAGGGCTGCAGCTGCATCAGCCGGAGAGCAGTGGAGATATAGTCGCTTAGTTTTATAGGATTTCCATGATAGCGTTGCGAAAGCTTTAGACTTTAGATTCTTGAAGAAGAAGAAGCAAAATTGTAAAAAATTCGCTTTAAACTTATGTGGCATGCGTACAACAAGCTACGAACGTATTCATATTGTATTCAGATTCGTATTCGAAGTTTCAAGACAATTTTTACATCTAGTTAAAGCACAGTATCCAAGTAATTGATAAACAGACCCTATGCAATATGTATCAATGTTTTTGAAAAACAAACTAACCAGCAACAATAAGCAGTCACACTTAGATCGGCCGTATAGGGCGTCTAGAGATTAATCGATCAGAATCCGAAATCAGAATCAAGCACTTAAACAATATTGTGTATCGAATATATAAGGACAGGGTTATTTGTGTAAGGCCCGATCGAGATATTTTGACCAAGTGACCAAGGACCCTAGCGGGCGCTATAGATTTTGGACCCTAAACTTTTGATAAACGCCTACTAACATATATACATGGGTACATATTGAGTGTATCGTATATAAAAGAATTTGCCAAATTTTAGCGCATCCCCTAGTATCGTTCTTCGAAGCTTTAGATTAGATTAGATCGCGTTTATAGGCGTCGAATGCCGAATATCGATATAGAGCAGGTACCAAGCATTGCGTTATCCTCAACAGCCAACAATCTTTCCCCAATCCATTCATTGTAACATAAAACACGCTCCAATATCTTATAATTCATTATACTCTCCTAGATTGTAAGCACTAAACGTATTTTTTCCCTATACATATATACGATTATATTTAAACATTAAGCATAAAGACCCAAAAGCCATGTGTCGAGAACAGAAGCAGCAGCAGAGAAAAGTGAAACAGACAGAATATGAAATAAAAGAACCTTCTATAAGAAGTTTACAAAGAAGAAATTCCAATGCGTTGAGCCCCCGATAAGGGAGCAATGAGATTCGAGCTCGGAGCGAGGGGGATCAACGACCTTTATGGACCAATTCGCTCTAATTGACGCAATCCACGCAATGAGCGTACAAAAACCAACTATTTGAATAGAAAAACAAGCACACAGAGAAAATCATGGAGCCGCCAAGAAAAGGTGGCCAGAGAAACATATTCTAGGCATATGTTCAATAGGAGGAACAAAATTTGAATTAAATTGAAGAAAACGTTATCATGTATTAGACTTTAAGTCTTCGATTGTTTATTGAATTTTATTTGTTAGTTGTAGCGATTTTCCCAAACCCCACTTTGTATTTATTATGCGATTGTAAATTTTTGTTATTATTTGTAACCAAAACACTTTTGAATTGGTCGAAAATAATGTTGAAAAGTATTTGGAAATTTAATTTTCTTTACCCTGAAGTACACGGAATTATTGTAGCTACTTTAAAGGAACTTGATATGATTTTCTTATTATTATATTTACCAGTAGGTTTAAGAAAAATGACACATTATGTAACACATTAAGCTAAGCGGGCTTACGATTTTATAACCAAATTATATTCCTAACTATTCATACATACATCTACATACATACATACCCACATACCCGTACATACATATATGCGAACATAATTATTATGGCTCATTAACACAACGTAGTTAAACAAGTAAAGGAGTACTGCAGTAATGTGAAAATCTTATATTGAATTATATTCTTCTTGACATAAACAAAATAGACACAACTAGAAAAGGCTTTACCTGTAGAACGACAACAAGAACAACAGAAGGAACCGCAATAGCGACAGAAACAAAGCAAAACTATTTATATGCAATGAAAACATGATGGAAAACACAAGAGTTTGTAATAAAGTGAAAAATGAATACTAAAACGAACGCAGAAGGGGTGCCCCACAATCATTCTTAGTCGGGGGAAGTGGGATGCCGTCGAACGGGAAAGTTTTGAAACACTTTATGGCAAACTTCTAATGCACCTTTACCCTCCACCTTTCAGAATATCAATGGAGACTGCTGGTCTGCCCATACCCGGTTACCACTACATTGCGCCCAGTGCAATTGTTAAAACACCCATTCACTAAATGCAACAATCAACCGCAAGCAATGCAGCAGCCACAGCAACCAACAGAAATCGGAGGAGGACTGCGACTAGAGGACACCGGCAGAGGAGCAGGAGTAACATAGAACGTCAAATGTTAAATCATAAGCAATACAACAAAAACGGAAAATTAAGGAGGACATAACTCAACTCATATGACACTGTCAGCAATCACACATTGAATACATTACACTCATACCCACGGACACGCTCATAGACAGGCTCGGAGAGAACCATACATACACGTTATATTTATTCATTGATTCTTATTAATTATGATATTTTTCATTAAGTTTTAAACGCAAGGGCAAACAAATACAAGAACTTTTATGTTAAACCGTTTTCGGGGGCCCCACGGATCCCGTGAGGCCGCCCAAAGTAAGAACAGAACAGCAATTAATTGTAAGATTAGTCAAAATGAAGACAAAATAAAAAGTATAAAAATCAATTAACCACATAACATACAAAAATACGAAAAAGGCAGAAATTTCAAAAAGCAGTAATTCTAAGCCAACAACTTGTGCACGAGCATGACCAAAAAAGAAACATCAAACATGAGAAAAAATTTAAGCATAATGAGAACGGATATGAATGAGACATTGAACAGACAAGCAAACAAACCAAGCAAGCAAAGACATACAGATGACTTCGGACACAACATAAATTATATTTACTGCAAATCGCATCTAGCATCGATGTTTGCGTTTGTTAGTTGTTTGTTTATATGTATACATATATATTATATATAGACACGGCGATATATTGATACGATAATTTTTATTTTATTATTTCTATTATGGTAATTGTTATCGAAATTGTATTTGTGATTTTTGAATATGTTTAGACTGATGTGCAAAATTGATTCTGTTTATAAATTACAAGTAAACTACACATAAACAATTATGGACTAATTACTAGATATCTCTTCTCTTCGTTCTATCTTCTAATTAAATTACTCATTTGTTCAAAATTAGTTATAATTTGTTGAGAGCAACAAAACTTGATAAACGAAAATCTAACTAGCAAAGGATTTCCAAATGAATATCTTATCAAAAACGTTGTAGTTTCTTTCGTTTGGTTTCTAGTGAAAATGCCTACTGCTGAATGGAAAACCACATTTAATCTACTTACAAATTAGCGAAAACAATTCGAGTTACAATAATAATTTTTAAGCACTTTTGCGGCGATTAAAAAGACTTTCTAAAGCGTTGAAAAAAACGAGAAATGGATTTAAATATTATATTACAATTATGCTTAAATTAAAGTATAATTTAAATTTATTAGCTGTTAAATTTATACGCAAAACAAAACTGAAAAACAAAACAAAAAAGAACCACAACAAAAGAGAACATCAAAAATAAACTGATTTTCAATGTTAAAATTAAATTAATTTTATTCTAATTTAGTTCATAGGCTGGGCAGTTAAAACCAAAAAAATCAAGAAAAACACAAGTGTGGTAATTACTTTAAGTCACACTAAAACGTTTAGTTACTTATACACACTAATTCACAATAAAGCCTCTGGACATGAGCTAAACGGTGTTGAAAGCCGAAGGTGAAAGCGAGAGCATCAGTTTGCAAATGGCAAAATGTGTCAAATTTTATTATACATATTAATTATTTAGTAAGAGGAATTATCAAAGCATAAAAGAAAACAAAAAACATATCCACTGCAAACGAAAACCAATCTAACCACAACTTATTATATTAACCAACACAAGATACAGAATGAACAAATTATAAATCCAAACAATGCATACATATAAAGGCAAACATATCCCAGAGAACGCAATGCATGAATCTATATAAATATCTATGATTTATAACATTTATCGCGGTAAATGCTTTGACTTGAGGAATTGATTAAAGAAACATTTAAAAGTGATTTCCCCTGAACAACTTCTCTTGTCAACAGTAAATTGATCTTCAGTTTCATCTGCATTCATATTTAGCATCTTCCGCTCACACAAGAAAGACAAACTTATGAAACAACAAAACTTGATTACAGGAAATTGTTAATAGCATAAAGAGTAAAAATATAAATAAATGAACATAAAAACCACAAAAAGACGAGCCTAGCCCAAAACGTTAGCTCCTCTTTTTGAATATTCCGATAAACTTATCGAGGATCCAGCAACTGGCAGGCAGTGGATAAATAATATCATATGGCGAAACTATTTCGTGATTTTAGTGACAAATATATTTCGCTGACGACAAACAATTTGAAGCAATCATTTTGAAAACAAGAACTTTGGTGCCCACATAAATGTGGAATCGAAGGAAAAAAGAAAATATTGAGAAACGGAAATGGAAAATCAGTCAAGAAACCGTATATCTATATATAAATAAATGATATATCTATATATAAATATACATAAATTAAATATATACTTATTATGTACACTTGTATTTAAATGTATTTGAAATATTTAGTAAATTTTTTGCGCAAGTTACACAAAAAAAAAACAAACAAAAACACTAAAAAAAGATGAGGGCGGCTACGGAGATAGACGGGTCAACAGTGGCTAATTGGGATATTTGTAAAATAAAAATAATGAAAGGGATAATTAATTTATGTGTACGTGTGTATAAGAGAAATAGCTCAAAAGATTTCACAAACAATTTTTACTAAATATGCGTGTAATTAATGTAATTATTAACGACATTTTGTTGATAACTTGTAAATTTGCAAAGGAAAAATACGTGTAAGAAAAGCAATTTTAATGGTGCCTTAAAAACCAAACCAAGCAAATTTCTTCTAACCTGCCTTGCCTGCCCCCCCTCAGCGAACTCAGTACTCAACTGGATGGCATGTGAGTTTTCCACTCCTTCTCCCACTCTTCTCGATACTTCCCAGGAGCTCTTGTCCTTGATCGATCGGATCAGATCGGGTCGGATCAATTGGAGAGCCCGCTGATATCGTGCGGTATGCTTAGTTAAAGCTGTGTTATCGTTTCGACATAAGAACTTATCCCTTTTAGCGACACAATTGCTCAAAGCTATCCGAGTCTGTGCGCAGTTGCCCGTTACACTTCAATTCGAATTTGAATCCTAGGTTGATTTGGATTCGGCTGATACCGAACTTAGCAGCAAGTACACGTAGTGCATTACGATTACGACACTGAGACCCAGAGAATATCAACAATTAGCCCGAAACAAATGAATACCCAGAACACAAGCAACATATTATTAAAATTATATACATATACAGCAAACCGAACACACATATTAATGTTTCTCTCAGTGTAATTACAAATCACTTGAATGTATTTGCTCACATTTTTACAATACATGTCGAAGAACTCTACACAATAAGCAACAAACGTAAAAGCATTTAAGGCACTTGATCGGTCGAATGAATGATGGATCGTTGGATGGATATGGATATGCAAGGTCATTGTTAAAGTAAAACGCAACTGTAGGAAAAGAGTATAAAAAAACAGTATAAAGGAAAACCAATCCAAAAACATATTTATATACAAATATAAAGCAAAAATGAAACTTAACTGTAAGGTATTTTAGATATTCTTATTTAATATCCAGAAAAAGACAAGAAATTATACGAGCAGTGTTTTAATTTAGACGCAGAGATAGGGAGAGAGAAATGGGAGATCGGGTCTAAGTAATGAACAAATATATGTGTATTTAACTAAATATTGGTGTTAGAATTGTTAAGGACACTCTAGAAATTTGGAATGACATGATAGGATCTGAGAGAGGACATTTTGCGATGTCGGGGAGAGTGTATTGGGGTCTGCCCTACCAATTCTTCCTGCTGGAGAATGCTAACCATCCTGTTATTCGATTCTGTTACTTACATACGAGTATTCCTTTTTGTTTGCCACATTATCGCGTATGAGCCGCATACACAGAGAGAGAAGGGGAAATATAACTACGTGTATTCCAATTCATCAAAGCAATTGAAGAATTAATAGAACACCTAGGCAAGGACGGAGCTACGGCCACTTGCCACTAGAAATATACGAAACATCTAAGGTTTCTCAGCATAACAAAGCGAATCAAAGCAAAACCAAATATCGAGCATAATATCTTATAAACCTACGTAGGACAACAACTTAACCACTACATACACACATGCATGCATACATATAGACAACAGCAACAGGGTCTTATAGCTTCTTCAGACAATATAGGTATGTACACGTATCCCTGGGTATTGGAATCGGATTGAACAAACCACATAGATATTGGCGCAGTACGGTTAAACTTTAAAGGTGTTTTCAAAGAAATTATCATATGTATATGTTTATGTATATGTGTGTGTTTGTATATGTGTAACAAAAAGTTGAAGACCTCTCAATCCAAAAAAGGGAACCGAAACAAAGAAGATCACTGCATTTCCTTGTTAATCAGCATGTGAATTACGAAAGGGGTAAACTATTTGCCTGGCATGTCGGACTCTCTCTTACTCTCATCTATGGAGAAGACGAAAAGAATGAATATGCAGCATAAAATTGATAAAACTGAACAATTGGGATCAACTTATATTTTAAATATAAGATTAAATTGTAAAGACAAAACCTAAGCAAACCTTTTAATTAAGCCCCGGAGTTAGTAGAAGTTACGTAAATCTAGCAACGTCTAAAAATGTAGAGGGGGAAAACACAATTTGTGCCAAAACAATGAGGTAGAAGGCGGAGCAGACGAACAATAGATACCAACTTTAACTGGCCAAAAGCACAACAGCAGCCACAAACGAGAACACAAAGTTAATTCTTTGCTTTTTTCGGGGAACAACACATAGGAATTATACGAATTT